GAACTCTAAAAAAAAATCATCCTTAACTACGATTTAAAGTTTGAAATTTACTTCAGCTTAAGAAATTTTATTTTATAGGTCTAACGAGGATAAATATTAATTATAAGTTTTTCAATCTCACATTTCCATGTTTCAATTATTAATTTTTTTGTTGTCGTTTTTTATGTGTGTAATCATTTACCTGTTTAATATATATTTACAAATGTAACCTTTTGGATGAAAATTGTTTATGGGAGATTTGTTTACTTTTTATATGATAAAATTTTGAATTTTCGTGAATACTAAAACTAAGACAAAATTCTCCGTAATTTGAAAACTATAATTTAAAATTTAAAATAAGTTTAAATTAAATTTATGTCTCTTCATTTCCTAGTTCGGTAATAATTATTACTTTTGAACATCATATTTTCATTTCAAAAATATTAATCGTAATAATAGTTTTTGTGTATATTTACTAATTTATTTAGTTAGTTATTCAATGTGTATTTACAAAATATCTTTAACTTTAGAAGGAAATCCTTTAGTCTATCCCTTTTTACTTTTATATATTAAGGTATTGGGATAAAATGTTATTAAAAAGATAAATTAATCTAATTTTTTTTTCCTTTTCACCTGTTAATAACGATAAATTTCAATTATTGACTTTTTATCACCGAGATTTTATCTTTTAAATTGGTAACTCATTCAATGCAATTGTGCTTTTTATTAAATTAATTTTATTAAAACTAAATGAACTTAAATTAAATGACACTTTTAATATACTTTTCTCCAGAAGTTAAGTCCTGAATGTTAAAACTAAAAAAATTATTCATAAAACAAAAACTATGATTTAAAATTTGAAATTTGAAAATATGTTTAATTTAATATGTTTTTCATTCTCTAGTTATAATAAATATTGATTATTAACTTTTCAATATCTCATTTATATTGTGTAATTATTAATTAATTATTCTAAGATGTATATTTTTTGTGATAATAACTTTTACATATTATTTAACTACTAAGCTATTATTCTATTTTAAACATGCCGCTTTTATCATTAATTATTAGTATTTTTATTTTTGTGTTTATTAATTTATTTCTTTAATTTAAAACAAATTTACAAAAGTAACCTTGACATGGATGAAAACTTTTATTCCAGACTTGCTGTCCTTCACATGAGATTTTAAAGGAGAAAAAAGTGATTAAAAAGAAAATTAGAGATAGGAGTTTTGTATCACACAAACATTATTTTTCGATATAAATAAGAACTTTTTTACATAGAAAATTACCTATATACAAAAACTATATTAAAATAATAGTTTTTACTCATTATTGAAGGCAATTTGTTTATGTATCTCAATAGCTTCCTTTCCATATTCTCATAAAAGATTTTGTTTCATTTTGCATGTTATGTAATTTTAAAGTCATTTTTTACTTTTGAATTATACAATTCTAATTTAAAAACCTTTTGGTTGCACAATTCAAAACTTATTTTTAATTTTCAGATCACAAATTTAAAATTATTTTAAGTTCTAAATTATATAATTAAAAAATAATGGAAATGTAGCCATTATTGAATTATCCGAATTAATAAAATAGTAATATTCAGAGTTTAAAAAAAAGGACACCGTGTGGAGAAGAGAATAGAGACGTCACACAAATGCTCACAACTGAATACTTTGTCCATATTATTCATTTCTCTTCTCTTTCTCTCTCTCACTCTCTCTCTCTCTCTCAATTTCTCTGAAATCCGATCACAAAATGCAGTTCATGCTCAACCTTCGTGTTACTCATGGACTTCCACTTTGTCTCTCTGGAGTCACCAATCCTCTTTCTTTCTCTAAGGAGTATCTGAAATTCAACCTTCTCAACTCTGTCTTCCATTTTCTTTGCTTTCTCTCTAATTCATGATCTTAACTTTTTGGTGCTGCAGAATAGCAGATCATGACAGTCGGAGGAAGAACATGAAGAAGCAGAAATCAGTGGCCAGAGAGAGTGTGCATGCAAAGCATCAACAAAAGGGTACCCTCATCACAAACTTTCAAACCTCTTCTGTGATCATGGCTGAAGAATATGGAGATCTTGGTCACATCATAGTTCATGATCTGTTCTGTATTCACCTTGGTTTAACAGCAAAAGCTGCATAGCCTTATCAGTTCTTCACTCAGATTACCACTGTTTCTGAACTCTGTTATGTATCCCTGTTGAATTGATCTCGTGTTTTTTATTTGTTTTATTGATATAAAAAAAGACGTTTTTTTATTTGTTTTTCTAGAACAGTTGATTATCAAGTTAGAACAGGTGTCTGATAAGAATTTGATTTTTACCGGTATGTCAGTCATTTTTATGAGTAAATCTTCAACTAGGTTGTTTTTTCTTTACCAAGCAAAAACAATCAATTACAAATCTATCATTCAAACCATCCAAATCAATTCGGTTAAACACATCAATCAAATTCAAAACAATCCAATTTCATTCTCAAAATAAAAGCAATCATCAACATAAAACATCATATTTATTAAACTCACACACCAAAACAATTAGCTTCCCTTATTTGATTCAATAGCTCACTCTAACTAGTCAAACTTAGAAGTAAGATACTCTATACACATATAAAAACATTATAAGAACAATTATGACATATTATTATGATCACTTATCAACAGAGATTAATATATATAACTAAAAAGACATGCAAGTGAAGAAAGATTCTCATGTAACAAATAACAAAAAAAGACAATAAAAAATATTAAAACTCAACTTATGCGAACAAAAAAACTAATTCATCCAAATTAAAGAGTTTGTCGCAAAGATCAATCCTATGGTATCGATTCTTCAATCAGACAATCAAAGAGAAAAAATCTTAAAAAAATTAAAAAATTCTAAAAAAAATACAAGAAAGATTATATATTCTAAAATAATGAACCAATTATAATAAAACTATTTATATTAAAATATTTGAATATTGAAATAATAAATCTCACTATTTTTAAAATATTATTTTATAGTACAGAAAATATAATAATAAGTAAAAAATTGATTAGTAAGATTGGAATAAATGCATTTCCATGTACATGTAAATTCTGTAAATTCTATTATATTCAGAACCAATTAAATTGTATTTTGCTTGTCAAACATATTATTTGATAGTAAATTTATTTAGTCTGATAAATCTAAGATTCACTGGGAAACACCATATTCGAGTATGATAGTGAATTCAAATAATGAATGTATTGTCTGAATGAAATTAAAAAAAAAAAATCTCAAAGTGAAAAGCTAATCTGTTATAAAAGCAATTTAATTTTATCGTTCTATTTGTAATTTGGAGGATGAAACTGTGTTATAAAAGCAATTTAATTTAAAAACAAAAAAAGTATTTTAAGTAGGGGTAATCTGTATGATATTTTATCGTTTCAGCCAGAAAAAAATTTAAACAAATTCAGTAAAGATATTATTGAATGATTAAACACAAGTATCATAAATTTTTATGTCAGACACACTAAAAAAATCTCACATTCTTAAAAATGAAGACTCAAATTTGTTAAAACAGATATGAACAAACTATATCGGTCATGAACCACTGATTAGAATTAGACAAAATTTAGAGTCACAAAAGAATATTGAAAGTAAAGAAAATAAAATGCTTTCAATATCTTTTTATTTACAATTCACCCTATGTCTCTAAAAACAACAGATAAAATTCTTCTAATGGAAAACCAGACTCCTTGATTAAGGTTAATTAGTTATTTTTACCATAATTATTAAACTTGACCAACTCAACTAAAAAAATGAGACAATGAGGTATTAATTGAACCATATAAAACAAATAACAGAAATGTTCTTCATTAATAAAATGCTACTTAAAAAGTACTAATATGCAAATTAGTAGTTAGCAATTTTATAAATACGAAAAACTGAATTCATTAATTTTAAGCTGAGATTAGCAATTGGCAATACTAAATAGGTTGTCTCATTGGGATGAAGCTTGTCCTAAGTGTATATATATAGTTTTCACAAAACAACACAATCATATAGGTGGATCATCAAAATATACAACGAAACATAGTCAAACATATGTACCATATAAAAGTCATCCTACATGTATGAATATCTACATGCTTAATCCTTTGATCTCTCAAACCTTGTCCACATTTCCAGCATTGGCTTCTTACTCTCCAAGGCAAGAACAAATTTGATTCTTTAGTCAGTCATGATCATGTGCAAATTTATCTTCTCCAAAACGTGAATGAACTTTCGGATATTCATATTTGACATGAAGCAAAGACAACCATGTGAACAAGGGCATGTAGTGCAATCCAACTGCTACTCATTGTGACTGATAAATTTATCAAAATTTACTTATCATCATTGAATAATCGAGTCAACATTTCAAGTTTTTACTAAAAAAAAAATAAGCAATTGATGTGAATGTGTGTGCAAGTATGTGTTTAGGAAAGGACGAGTCAGTGTAAAGGATTGTAATATTGCATTTAAAAGTGATACTTGGTGAAAGTTATCACGAGGCCTTGTTATTGTCCAGATCAACTTTGGCAGTCAAAATATACAAATTAAGCACATTAGCCCTTGGCTCAAAAGATGCATACCTCAACAAGAGTTGATCATGAGCAAGAGGTCAGCATCCTACATGTATTTCTGTAATATCTCACCACATCATTCAGGGTTTGCATTTTCCAATAATAAAAGTAGGAAAGAAAATCATGTAAATGTCATGCTTCACTCCCTAATCAGCTGAAACTTTTATAGCAGACTATTTTCATAGTGGATGAATCCAATATGTCATCATGGAAACTTTAGAGTGAATGATCTAGTAACATGTAGCATAAATAAGTTAAAAAATTAAGGGTAATAATCAGCAACCAAATCGTCCTACAAATACTTGTTAAGCATAAATTGAAGCTTGCTAAAAATAAGATCAACACACGGATTCAATCCAATAAATTAAGATGACATTTCATATCCAACATAATGAAATGAAAGGACACAAAAATAAGCAAACCTTCCATTTCTTCCTTCCGGTTCAGCAGGAAGAGTATCTTGAGAATGAGTCTTTATGTCAATTAGTATTGGATTACGGTCATTTTCTGTTAATGGCATCCGAACCTCATCAAAAAGTCCTATCATTCACATTCCTTCTGCAAAGCAAATTTTGATATCAGATAAAGAGTCCACATGATAAAAAATTGGTAGTCTCACAAAGCCCTTGCACCATCATTTGGATGTGCCCTACTATACAATACATGTAATATCTCATGGCTTTAAAACTAAATAAACAGCCAACTACAATGATAAAAGAATGGGAATTTACAGTGACTGAAAAAAACTCTGCTCACTCAATTCCATTGTTTCTACCTACTGAATTCCCATAGTCATCTTCAAGCACATAAAGAAGCTTCCTGTAAGCATGCCCATCTACAAGGTCATTTTCTTGCAACTCCTGCAAAAAACGCATGCCCTCCTGAATTGTTCTTTGTCTGCATATCTCATCCAGTACAGTCCTAAATGTAATAAAATCAGGTGACCTTTGCTTATTGGTCATCTCCCACAGATAATTTACTGCTTCACCAATCTCTCCACCAAGCGCCAACGAGTTGACAAGCGAGTTATAAGATTTACCACCAGGAACAAAACCTTTGGTCTTCATTTCATTAAATAACTCTTTGGCATTATTTGTTCTGCCCTGGGCACACAAGCCATGAATCAAGTAATCATATGTCAACGCATTGGGCTGACAATCATAAACCACACCCATTTGATGAAATATCCTCAATGCATCATTAACATGAAGAGATAGCACATAACCTTTGATCATAGAATTCAATGAAAAAATATCAGGCTTGACCCCATCATTGACCATTTGCCTAAACAGACATCTAATTGTTTCCATATACACATGGTTTATATAGGAGTTGCTTCCTCTACCCAAAAATGCAGCAAAAAGAATATTATAGGTTCTAATAGAGGGCCTATAACAGCAAATTAAGTTCCTTTTACTTTTCATGTGCTTAAACACATTGACAGCTCTAGTAAGCTTCCGTGCCTGAGTGAAATAATATATAACTGTGTTGAACAATGCCTCTGAACCAATTAAAGGAACTGCAATCAGTTGGTTCACAATGTCATCCATTTCTTGGAACATCTTTGCCGTACCAAGCTTCTTTATGGTGATATGAAACGTGGACACATCGTGCCGAAATCGTGGCTGTTGAGATGCCCAGTGAAAAAGTTCTAAGCAAACCAGGGGATTATCTTGTTGAGCAATCACAGAGCACAGTTCTTCAGTAGTGAACCTTGGGGGAAGTTGGGACAGTGCCAACTGAAATTGGGCTTGGTCTAGGGTAGGCTTGGAGGACTTCAACAACCTATTTCTGGCTCGTCTTCGGTAAGATCTTGAAGGAGCTTTTGTTGAATAGGGAGAACTAAAGGGAGCAAATGGGACAGGGAATTGAGTGCAACTACTGTTGATTTGGAATGAAGAGCGCTCAAATTTGTGGGTGTGATGAGAAAAAACAATCCTGAGTAAATATTTCTCATTGGGGTCATGAAATTTGTGGCAAAATGAGAGTGTGGAGCGTATGGTTTCACTTGGGATATTCCTCCTGAAGTAGGTAGTACGATACTTGAAGCAATTTCTTGTCAGAGAGAACATGCTTTGATTTTTAAGCATAGAAAGCAAAAGTGAGTGTAGTTGGGTAGTTCTTACTTGCTTGCTGTAACAACCTTAATTAAACCTCTGATACCTGTTGGTCACAACCTATGTAAGATTGTTAATCAAATGAATTAGGATTTTATATAATCTGCAGAGCGAGTATGCTCAAGCACACATACAAATTATTATTGGCAAAGATTATCCAACTATGGAATTACGTTGTCCACGAAGTATTCAATAATAGTATAATCAATCACAACATAAATAATGTGTAATCAGAATACTGAGCAGTTACAATCACAGGAAAAGTAATACCAGTCACAGAATAAGTAAATAGTATATTACCAATCCTATAAAGAAAAAAAAAATACAAATCCAACAACTGAACGAGGCACATGTTATAACAGTTATGCAGTGAAAAGTCCTTCATTATCTATGCAAATTCAGTTTCAAACATGGTTATCAACTCGCGAGTTAACTCTTTAACTCGCACAAGTTTACATTTCTACACATAAACTTGATTTTGATGTAAACTCAGTAGAATCGGAGTAGAATCGTTGAACTGGGTCATACTTGATTTTGCAATCGAGTTGGCGAGCTCAGGAATTTTTTTAAAATCCAAAACAACAGTGGTGTGGTATGTGAGAGTGAATAAAACTCGCTGATTAGGGAATTAGGGTTCCCCTCTTCCGCTGCCCTCACTGCGTCATTCCTTCTTTCTAACCGCTCGCACTCGAGTCACATACGTTGTCGCGCGCCCTCACCTGCAACAGGTTGGGAGTAGAAGCTGCGCGAGATTGGGTGGAGAAAGGGAGACCAGTCCTCCCTGCGTGCTTCGTGTGACTGGTGGGAATGAGTGAGATTTTAATTGATTTTAATGGCTCACCATTATCCTAATTAGGAATTATTTTTAGAAGAGAAAGGAAGGTGTAGGATTGCACTGAGAGGAATTATATGATGGTGTTGTGTTACTTTTAGGAGAAAGATAATATTATATATATATATATATATTATTTATAAATAATTTTAATTTTTTATTTAAAATAAATTCTTACAAATTTATAAGTAGAGTTTATTATTAGAGGTTCACTAATTTCCGCAAACTTGGTTTCAAAAACAAAACAATTTCCTCACTTTCCTCACGAACATATTTAATCTCTAAACCTAATGTACTGCTCAACTATCTCCGAAAGTCTCAATGAGTCTCTTTTTATATGACTATGATAATTCCCACTAAAATGAAACAACTGCTTGATGATGAATCAGTTACTGATAATTCACTGGCTGACAATGTCACAGTTGATCCAGTTGTGCAGGGATATATAAGAGATTGGGTTTGTTTTCCCAAGGGTTTCAATAGTAAATTATTTTTACAAATTAATATCATTTTAAATTGTTTTATTTTTAAATATTTTATTTTGATAAAATAATTGAAATTTATTAAATTAAAATTTGTTTACTTGGTTATGATTTACAATTTATCAGTTACAAATACTCTGTTGATACACTCGGCTCATAAAATTTGAGATGATACCAGATCACAATATTGTAATTTTTTTCGGTGAGATGATTGGCCAATAGTAATTGGGATTGTTTATACTTATTCAGTTATTCTTCGAGGGTAAGATTGTTATATCAGTGTGTTCGGGTTAGAGGTAGAAAAGATTTATGTTCAAAGTTGTAAACTTATAATTAATTATAGAAATAAGTTTCGTTTGGCATTTTTAGTTAAAAAGGTTTTAAGATTGTTTTTGTTTGGACTGTCTAAAAAAATACCATGTAATTTTATAATATGGGTTATAAGTTATTTTTAGTAGTTTATATTCAAATTTTTCCTCAAAATAAGCAATCGGTGTGAATATGTTCTATGTGCGAATATGTTCTATGTGCTCGTTTAGGAAAGAATGAGTCATGGGTAAACTTCTTCAGAAATAAATTTAATGATGACTATAGGAAATAATGCATTTAAAAATCATATTTGTTGAAAGCTATCAAGAGATCCTGTTCTTGTCCAACCAACTTTTGGCAGTCAAAATATGCAAATTAAGCACAATAGCCTTTGGCTCAGAGATGCATACCTCAACAAGAGCAGATCGTGAGCAGGGGCAAACATCCTACATGCAATTCTGTAATATCTCACCATATCATCCAGGGTCTGCATTTTCCAATAACAAAATTAGGAAAGAAAATCATATAAAAATCATGCTTCACTTTGTGATTGCCTCAAACTTATCAAAAGATAGACAAAAATGTATTTTTGAATTATTTCTTAAAAAAAATATTTACATCACATTGATTCCGCCCCAAAATCAAAGCAGAGCGTAAATGAAGTTTCAAATTACCAGAACAGCACCAAGGGAGCTCGGGTTAAGGTGGGATCAACTAGCCGCAGCTCCAGGAAGCCTCGCCGGAGATAGAGGCGGCGGCCTGGGGTTCTGACGTCGCCGCTTCACGCCTCTTCTCTCGGGATGGATAGGTGGTCAGGGGTTTGCCGTGCACGTGGAGGTCTGTCCTTTGCTGAAATTGGCGCGGAGTTCATGAGGATAGAGAATGGAATATAAAAGTTGCGGTGGACACGGCGGAGCTTCGGAGATTGAAGACGGTGGTGGTTAGGTCACGCCGGAAATGGGAGCGGTGGAAGAAAATTGGAAGAGAAGAGGATTGTTTGGTGTAATTATTAGGAAACCAGATTGGGTTGGTGGCCAACAAAATCAAAGAGTGAAGGAACAAAAAAAATTGGGCCAAAAACATAATAAAATTTTTAGAATTATTGTTTTTTAATTTTACTCATTTATAACATATTTCACTGATAACCTACGTAGTTCCTTGTATGAGTAAAATATTTTTCTGCAAAGCTCAGTGATCGTGAAAAGAATTATCAAGCAATATTCCTCTTGCTTTCGGTGCAGTACGTGGTGCAGTGCGTTTGTGGTGTAATGTGATTGTCGTGGTTCCTCTCCACGTACGTAGTCATAATCCTTCCAATAATCCTAAACCCTAAACCCTAAACTCTTCCAATAATCCTTCCAATAATCTTTTAACAAACGAAGCCTAAACGGATGACATCCGTTGAAGGATGTGGTGGAGGGAGAAGGATGTTTCGACTTAAATGGATGTTGACATCCGTTGAAGGATGTCATCCGTTTAAGCTTTGTTTTAATTTTATGTTTCTGTTATTATTTTATTAGATATTTTAATATTTTGATTTATTATTTTTGAATATCTTTTTAATGTATTTTAATAATGTATATTTATATTAGTTTATATTTAAATATTAAAATATTAAAATATTAAAATATTAAAATAATAAAATAATAAAAATAAAAAATTTTAACTTTAAGGATATAATTGGAATTAAAGATAATTGGGGAGGTGGAGGGAGAAGGCTGTGGAAGTGGAGGGAGCAACACCCCTAATTTTATTATGTTTTTGGCCCAATTTTTTTCTCCCTGCACTCCACTTTTTTCTTACTGTACCCCGTAAAATTTATAATTCTCTCTGCTCTCGTTAAAATTATAATAAAAATCCCAACACCTTTTCCTTTTTAATAATTTCTAAATTGAGTGTTCAGAATATATTTTTAGATATAGAAATATTTTTCAAAACATGTTTTCCAAAAAATATTATAGGATGTGTGTTCTAAAAAATATTTACAAATTCAAAAATTCCTTTGACACATTTAATCCAGAATTCTTTTATATTCATAATTGAATATTTGGAAATGTATTTCCAGCTTTATAAAATATTTTACAAAATAAACTTAATCTAAAAAATAAAAAAATTCAAAATAAATATTTTAAAAAAGGGGTTTGCTAACTTGCGCTCTTTTTTTAGTTGGGACATTTTAGTCATATATATATCAGGTTTTAGTACACAAAAATATATTATGGATTTTAAATTTTAAAGTCAATGGTATTTGTATAATTTTCATTTTCAAAACAAAAACAAGAAACCCCAAACCCTTACTCGCATCCCTCGTTTCTCTCAACCTTTTCTCTTTCATCTCTCTCATTCCAACATTTTATCTATCATATCTACTGTAGTCTCAACTGAAAAAATCAGAAACACTCGTCTAACCTTAATCCACATTCCTCATTTATCCAATTTGTTTCTCTCCCATCTTCATACTCTCTCTCACCCACACATAGTAACATGCGACACTACAATTTGTTGCTATTGCTCTGTTCGTTTGTTTGTTTTCCACTTTAATAACAAAATAATTGATAATGTTGATGTTGATTTTTGATTCGAGGGTTGTGTCATATCTTTTCTCTTCTGATTGTTATAAATTTTAGAATTAGTAGTTTATCTTTACAGAGATTTGATATTTTGACTATTAAGGAAATATTTTCCAAAAGAGAAAAATCCTTATGTGGAAAGGGAATTCTGAAAGGGATAAGTTATTGTCCAAAAAATGAATTTCTGAAGTCAATTCTTAAAAATAATTCTAAAAACATATTTTCATTAGAAAACAATATTTTGAAATACACTTTTCATCTTCTACATATAACCAACTTCAAAACACAACAAAAAAAATGAAGCTCCTGCACTTCGTACTTAATGATTTAACAGGAACAAATTATTGAAGAGAGTAATGAACAGAGAAAATTGTTGTTGTTGACTCTGTCCCTTTGTTAAGAACAGATACCATTGCTCGTTCCCTTTGGAATGTTTCATATTAAGCATAATTTCATTTCATTTTTGTAAAAAGATTAAAAATATTCTAACAAATTGCACATCTTATAGATTTGAGTATATTGCAGAATATTGAGTAGTTTTCAAAAAGAATTACATTGATATACCAACTAATTAAAAATCAACCAGAAATTAGTAAACTAGTCATAATGAATCTGTTAGCTCTCACTTGGATCAGAAAATTACTTTCTAAAGTAAATCATGTAAGTTTATTTTAAACAATTCACATTTCTAACTTGTTTGGTCAATATAAACACGATGTTGTGATTTATTATTTGTCACATAAGTGAAATTAAGAAAAACAAAATGTACTAAATTTCAAATTAGAATTTAAACTTAATAAATCTGTTACCATCACGCTTATAATTTACTTTCTACTCCTTTCATTCTATGATTTTATCAAAATTGGTATTAAGAAACTAAATGATTTGCAACTATTGTGGGTTGATGCTAATGTCTTTTCACGGGGGGTTTCTTGGTTTTTTAGTTTTAAAATTATTGTAGACATCAACATCATCAATTATTTTGTTATCAAAGTGAAAACAAATGAACGAACAGAACAAGATCAACAAATTGCAGTGTCGCGTGTTACTATGTGTGGTGAAAGAGAGAATGGAGATGAGAGAGAAACAAATTGGATAAGTTAGAAAGGTAGATTAAGGTTAAGTGAATGTTTCTTATTTTTTTTCAGTTGGGCTAGTGTAGGGATGACAAAGAGAATGTTAGAGTGAGAAATGAAAGATAAAAGGTTTTTTTTTAGTTTTGAGAATGAAAATTATTCAAACACCTTTGACCTTAAAACTTAGAATCTATAATATATGAAGGTATTTTTGCCTACTAAAATTTGGTACACATTACTAAAATGTACCAACTGAAACAAAGAACTTATACAAGTTATGAAACCCCTTAAAAAATATTTCATAATCTAAAATTATATTTTAAAATCTCCAATTCAAAATATAAAAATATTAAAATAAATATTTGAAAGATTTTTTCAATTAAAAATATATTTTGTCCGAAAAATCATCTCTATTACCAAATGCCTTTAAAGGGAATACTTGCGAATAATCAAATACTTACCAAACTTTTGTGTTAGACAATTTAAAAATAATTTAACAAGTAATAACTCTATCGAGATTAAAAAACCATTTAAATAGCAAATGCTTAAGAAAGAAATTAACTTATTTTGATTTATACAAAACCTCAATTTCCAATAGTGATTTTTGTTAAATATAATATTAAATGAAAGAATTGAAGTATTTCATTAAAGAAAAACACTATAATGGACTTTTTAAAGATTAAAAAGAATAAGAGTTAAAAAAAAAGTAAAATAGATATTTAAACAAATGGATAGAGATGGAGAAAAAATGTATTTATTTCAAACATATCATTTACTTATGCATGATTGTGACATATTCCAAACAAAATTCACAGGATTTAATGCAAGTTCATGTGTGAGTGAACTATATTATATATTATCGTATGGTTAACAACAATTAAAATGAAAAATGAATAAATAAAAAAGAAAAAAAATATAAATATATAGTCTTACCTTATTTAACTAAAATAAACTTTCTTAAATAGGCTCATCACTTATTTTCGTAACAAAAAATTAAAATAATAATCCGTAAATTTACATCCATAACGCCTGCTACTTATGTTATATTTTGAATAATTAAAATTCGTAACCTTAAATTAATATGGAACGTTTTCATCATAACGGCTGTATTATATGTTATATTTTGAATAATTAAATTTAGGTTTAATATCCAATTTTGTCCCCAGTTTGGTTGGCAAATCTCAATTTAGTCCGTCATAAAAAAATGTTTGAAACGGGTCTTTATTTGTAAATTTGTGAGTCAAATTAGTCCCTTCCGTTAAATGTAATCAAACAGAGTTAATGAGATGATGATGTGGCACTAGTTAGTGGTTACGTTTGAAAATATAATTGTGTGCTTGCTTACGTGTTGATTAAAATATTGTGTTTATCCGTATGTTTGTCTCGTGTGAGAGGTTGGCTAGGGAAGCACCTTTCTTCTTCTCCTTTCCCAGTAGTTCTGGTTTGGCCTTGAAAGAGGGGAAGCACCAATTTGTTTTTCTTATTGCTGGTTCCTCTCAACAAACCATATTCAGAGGTTCTCTTCCCACTTTCTTCTCTCTGTCATTTATCTCGAGCAAGCAAACCCCAATCAGTTTTGTTCCGAATGTCTCTATTCATTATTCGTGGATCATCAACCTTGGAGAAGAGGGTTTTCGGTTTGTGGCTTAGTATTGCGAAATCCTGGTCGGTGACTCGCAGTGTGACGTTGAGAGAAGAGCTGCGATCCTGGTTGTTTGGGAAGGCGACGACACGGCGAGGGTGTAGCCAGCGGAGTCGCAACGAAGGCACGACGGAGGTGCAGCGGAGGTTTATTCTCTCCATTTTGATTCACGACGCAAGGAGGGAGCTTCCTTTCGTTTCTCCTTTTCCGGTTCGTCTTGTAGAGGGTTCTTAACCTTATTTTTGATTTGGGAATGTGGGTTGTTGTCTCTTCCTTATAGGTTTTGGTCTTGTTTTGTTTTGAGCCAGGGTTTGAAATGGGGATTTCGAATTGGGATTGAATTTAGGGTTTTTTAAATTGGGAATTTGGAGGTTAGGACTTTCAAATTTTGGGAATCCATACCTAAGTCCCTGCCGCAGAGTGTCTCTGACTGTGCCATCAAGGAATCAGCCAGGGCCAACTGATAACAGCTCTATAACTTTTGCTTCAGCCATTGTTTTGGTACTTATAGTCCTGATTGTTCTGTTCTTTTACACACAGAAGTGGAAGCCAAGATCCAGGGTTGTTGGCTCTACAAGAAAACAAGTTAAAGTGTTTACTGATATTGGGGTCACATTGACATTTGAAAGTGTTGTCCAAGCCACAAGATATTTCAATGTTGGCAAATGTATTGGGAGTGGAGGTTTTGGGGCAACATACAAGGCAGAGATAACA